TTTTTTTTTTTTTTTTCATTTTTTTGATAGGATTATTAATTCTAGTTCACAATAATCATTACAAATAATTCTACGTACATGGAGTTATTGAACTAAAACTCACGTACGGAGTGAAATTCAATTGAGTGGATTGAGATTTGAATTAAAATTATTAATGTTATCATGAAAAGTAATATTGCCAAAAGTACAATTGATTTGATAAATAGTAGGACACGCATGCTTTTTGTTATTACTATCACACCATTTTCAAACAGGGATATGGTAAAGATATATCATCCGCACCTTTATTCTACATAGACATATTTTCAATGAGATTTTTTTTTGTTAAAAAAAAAACAATCACTAAAATTAGGTACGCAACTTTTGTGAGAACATTCACATCGAAACCAATATTTATAGTTTTACCTTATTCATGTGAGCGCTATTATCTTTGAGCTTTGACTCAAATTCCATGGTGGCTAGGGTGTAGGGGGGAATGATGATGACTAGTTCGATGACAATGAGCTGTAGAATGCAAGGAACCATGTTGTGATTCTTATGGCTCCTTCTTCATGGTTTCGATCTGTTCCAACACCTCCACAACTTCTTTCATGGAGGGGCGCTTTCTAGGGTCATGTTCGAGACATCTTAGGGAGAGGTTAGCGGCCTGTAACGCTGCCTGAGAAGAATATTGGCCTTTAATTCGCGCATCCATAATGGTCTCCCACTTCCTTCTGTGAGAGAGAAGAGGCCTTGCCCAATCAATCAAATTATGTTGGCCGCTGGGGAGTCTGAAATCAAGTACCTGTAAACCTGATAAAATCTCAAGCAGCACAACACCGAAACTATACACATCGCTCTTCACATAAAGATGACCTGTTGAGAATAGATTGAGATGTGATCTGTTGCACTTCATCGACTATATGAAAGGAAGTGTGAGAGCGGGGCAAGGGAAGTTTTTAAGAATGACTGCCATTGTTATATACTGAAGTTGAATAGCCTATTTGGATATTTTATTTGTTCGTCTATTTCAAAACTCATCTCATAAACCAATTTCATTTTCATTGCTTTATTTCCATTTTTGAAGGTACCCACCAAATCATCTCTTGCACTAGATAGCTAAGGGTGCCTTTTGTGAATCACTTCTAGGGGACGATTGCCTCAATATCCAAGGAACAAGGAGTTCTATTTTTATTTCTTCGATTCAGACAAATGTAAGATGAACTTCAAATAAAAGCTCACCTGTTGCAGCATATTCAGGAGCAATATAACCATATGTGCCGATAATTTGGGTTGTCACATGAGAGTTTCCACCTGAGGGACCCAATTTTGCTAAGCAAAAATTTGATATTTTTGGATTGTAATTCTGCAACAAAAAAAAAAATAGAAAATAGAAAAGAGAAAACCCCAACAATCAGAATCTTGAATATATATGCAATTCCATACTAATTTAACCAGCCATATTTGTTCAGTAAAAAATGGGAGAATTGTCAATATTATTATACAAGATATTTCTCTACGTGACTGGGATGTTGGTATATCATGTTATGCAGTTATTTGCATAGCAAGTTAGATAAATGCTATGTCTTCAGTGCTCATAATCACTTCCCTCGGTTTTTGAGAATTCTAAAATCTTTGACTAACAATTTTCTAGAATTAATTTCACATGTCCATAACTTACTTTCGTTGATTCTTTATACTGCATAGCGAATGACGAAAGGACAAAATGTGGTAAGACTAATTGATACCCTAACCTCACAAAATGTACAATTCCAAGTTTTCTTTTCTTTGGAAATGGGTTACAAGTTGCTTTTATCCATTATCTTCTTCTTACTTATAATCAATTGTTGCTGCTTCTAATTCTTACTTCTTAATGCTTCTTAAGTTCACATGGAAAAAAAAAACAAACTTCTTCCTATATATAATGAGGCATATGTAAAATCTCACCACATCTAGTAGTATATTATAGGCCTTAAAATCTCTGTGAATAATTTTCTTTTCCGAAGTGTGCAAGAAAGCAAGGCCCCGGGCTGCACCTATGACTATTTTGAGCCGTATATCCCATGAAAGAGGTTCAATGGCGGGATTCTCTACAAAACCAATCAACCCATAAATCAATGTACTTTTTCATGGAAAAGCAATTAAATTTTTTTGCAAATTTTCCACCCTTCTTACCTCTGAATAGATGGTCAGCCAAGCTTCCTTTCTGCATANCCTACAACTTGGGTTGTCACGTGAGAGTTTCCACCTGAGGGACCCAATTGTGCTAAGCTAAAATTTGATATTTTTGGATTGTAATTCTGCAACAAAAAAAAAAAATAGCAAATAGAAAAGAGAAAACCCCAACAATCAGAATCTTGCATATATATGCAAATCCATACTAATTTAAAAGTGGGAGAATTGTCAATATTATTAGACAAGATATTTCTCTACGTGACTGTGATGTTTGTATATCATGTTATGCAGTTATTTGCGTAGCAAGTTAGATAAATGCTGTCTTCAGTGCTCATAGTCACTTCCCTTGGTTTTTGAGAATTCTAAAATCTTTGACTAACAATTTACTAGAATTAATTTGTTAGTCACTTCGAATAATTTTCTAGAATTAATTTCACATATCCATAACTTACTTTCGTTGATTCTTTATACTGCATAGCGAATGACGAAAGGACAAAATGTGGTAAGACTAATTGACACCCTAACCTCACAAAATGTACAATTCCAAGTTTTCTTTTCTTTGCTACCTAACAATCAAGCTAAGGATCATGCCCAAACTGATTTTTTTCATAAAGGGGGGAAATGGATTCCGAGTTGCTTTTATCCATTATCTTCTTCTTACTTATAATCAATTGTCGCTGCTTCTAATTCTTACTTCTTAATGCTTCATAAGTTCAAATGGAAAAAAAAAAACAAACTTTTTCCTATATATAACGAGGCATATATAAAATCTCACCACATCTAGTAGTATATTAGAGGCCTTAAAATTTCTGTGAATAATTTTCTTCTCCGAAGTGTGCAAGAAAGCGAGGCCCCGGGCTGCACCTATGGCTATTTTGAGCCGTATATCCCATGAAAGAGGTTCAATGGCGGGATTCTCTACAAAACCAATCAACCCATAAATCAATGTACTTTTTCATGTAAAAACAATTAATTTTTTTTTGCAAATTTTCCACCCTTCTTACTTCTCAACAGATGGTCTGCCAAGCTTCCTTTCTGCATAAATTCGTACACAAGTAGGAGTTCTTTGTCCNGAAAAGCAATTAAATTTTTTTGCAAATTTTCCACCCTTCTTACCTCTGAATAGATGGTCAGCCAAGCTTCCTTTCTGCATAAATTCGTACACAAGTAGGCGTTCTGTGTACTCCCAACAATATCCCAAAAGTTTCACCAAGTTAGGATGTGAAAGCCTTCCTAAAATATTCACTTCTGACTACATTATGAAATGAAGCAAACAAACCATTAGCACTGGTTGAAAGACTATTATGTTGATGGAAATTAAAGAAGACTGGCAAGNAGGGTGCAAGCTCACCTGTTGCAACATATTCAGGAGCAGCATAACCATATGTGCCTACAACTTGGGTTGTCACGTGAGAGTTTCCACCTGAGGGACCCAATTGTGCTAAGCTAAAATTTGATATTTTTGGATTGTAATTCTGCAACAAAAAAAAAAAAGCAAATAGAAAAGAGAAAACCCCAACAATCAGAATCTTGCATATATATGCAAATCCATACTAATTTAAAAGTGGGAGAATTGTCAATATTATTAGACAAGATATTTCTCTACGTGACTGTGATGTTTGTATATCATGTTATGCAGTTATTTGCGTAGCAAGTTAGATAAATGCTGTCTTCAGTGNTGTATATCATGTTACGCAGTTATTTGCGTAGCAAGTTAGATAAATGATGTCTTCAGTGCACATAGTCACTTCCCTTGGTTTTTGAGAATTCTAAAATCTTTGACTAACAATTTACTAGAATTAATTTGTTAGTCACTTCGAATAATTTTCTAGAATTAATTTCACATATCCATAACTTACTTTCGTTGATTCTTTATACTGCATAGCGAATGACNTGCTCATAGTCACTTCCCTTGGTTTTTGAGAATTCTAAAATCTTTGACTAACAATTTACTAGAATTAATTTGTTAGTCACTTCGAATAATTTTCTAGAATTAATTTCACATATCCATAACTTACTTTCGTTGATTCTTTATACTGCATAGTGAATGACGAAAGGCCAAAATGTGGTAAGACTAATTGATACCCTAACCTCACAAAATGTACAATTCCAAGTTTTCTTTTCTTTGGAANATCCATAACTTACTTTCGTTGATTCTTTATACTGCATAGCGAATGACGAAAGGACAAAATGTGGTAAGACTAATTGACACCCTAACCTCACAAAATGTACAATTCCAAGTTTTCTTTTCTTTGCTACCTAACAATCAAGCTAAGGATCATGCCCAAACTGATTTTTTTCATAAAGGGGGGAAATGGATTCCGAGTTGCTTTTATCCATTATCTTCTTCTTACTTATAATCAATTGTCGCTGCTTCTAATTCTTACTTCTTAATGCTTC